GCTTACCGTTTATTCAATCAGGCGGAGCATATAATGTGATCAGAATAATTTTGGTGTGTAAGGGAAACTGTGGTGTAATTTCACCTCTTCGAATTGTGTAATTTTGCAGATTGTAGATTTTATTTAAGGTGTTTAAAACGATTCACCCAATTAGGTAGTCAGAAATCGGGGGTGGCTTGATTTGATTCGGTTCTTTAAGTTGATATAAAAGAAAAGACGTTCATCAGTGAAAAGAGTTACCCCTCTTTTCGGTGATATCATTCTCAAGCTGTACAATCGCATATATGTATATACAGTAAATTATCTTAGCAATAAAATAAATATTTCAAAGATTTGTCATTAGAATTTTAAATTTTAGATAACAAATTACGTAATTGGTTACAGGATTTCATCATGAGCTGATATCGGTTAGAGGACTACTGAAAAACCACCTGGGAGTACTGCCAGACAGCTGTTTCGCCCTAGTTTTGGACTCTTCAGTGGCACGTTCCCGTAGGGGTTCGAGCCCAGGACCTTCTGGTCACAAGGCGAGCTTGTAGATCATTAAGCCGCTAGGACCCAATCCATTGGCCAGCCCATGAATTCCAACTTCCTCCAATTTTTACAATATAGCGCGACTGGCACCAGCCTATGTCATCGATGCCAAGCAGATTTCATGGGTATATTATCAAGTGTTAGTTTGTAGCGATTTGATTACTTCTAAGTTTGTTCACAGACCGATATCAATTAAAGAACCACGTAAAGTGAGGGAGTTTTGGATAGCTGTTTCATCCTGGATTTGAAACTCTTCAGCATTACGTGTACTCATGATTCAATCAGGGATCGAACTCAGGACCTTAAGTCTGCAAGACAACTTCATATACCTCTCAGCCACTGAGATGTAATCTAACAGCCGGATGATAAATTCAACTTCTGCCATATTAATTTGTTTATTAGATATATCACACAGTCAGTGAAACAGTATTATTATTTACTGGATGACACAGTTTCGAACACAATTTATTTATTGTCCATAATCATATCATCAGCTATAACCACACAACTTTGGAACTTTCATCTTATAGTTTTCTTTATTCTTTCCTATTTGTCGTAGGGATAGTAGAACTTTCCAGATGTCTGAGACAATTGTTGAATCTTTCATGTTACATGTATTTGCAGTCGATTTGATAAGTAAAGCTTCTGTTATCAATCTCTCCCTCCACTCTGTTAGTTGCATTAGATTTTAAAACTGTCATCTTATCCCATCATCCTATTTTATGGTTGTGTGTAATTGCATGTAGTGAGTGCTATAGCTGAACTGTTCTCCAGATTTCTTATCTTATTAAGGTCAGCTAACCTAGATTTCATTGCTCCACTAGTCTGACTGACCTCGTTCTATTACTTTGACCTAGGTATTTGACCTGACAATCATTCCGGCAAGGTATTAGATAAACTAAATTGTTTTGTTTTAAAGGCTCCACTGGCAGGATCCTTTAACCGACAAAGCTTGTTTCTAATTGAGTTTGTGGGCTTAAATGCCACCTGTCCCAAACATCTGGAAAATTCTACTACCTCTCCGACGAATAGGAAGGAATAGAAAAAAACTATAGAACGGAAGTTTGGAAGTTGTGTAGTTACAATTGATGATATGATTATGAACAATAGTAAATTGTGTTCGAAACTGTGTCATCCAGTTAATACTAATACTGTTTCACTGACTGTGTGATATATCTAATAAACGAATTAATATGGAATTACATACTACCCAAATTCCCAAATTTTACACATACACTAACTTCTGGCAGTTGGCAATGTGTACTACGACCGCCAGCGAGTATCATCACCATCATCATCATCATCGCAGAGTATTTATCCTCATACCCGAGAACACTTCATAAGTCTCACTGGTCACGACTTTTCAATAAAACTCGAGACAACTTTATTCTGTAGTCACCAGTCAGTCAGTCACTAGTGAGCATCAGATTAATTTTCATTTCTCATCATGGAATGGTATACTTTTCGAAAATTATTACTCTTCAGTTTCTATTTTTTTTAAAATATTTTTCTGAACGCTTTGATCACGAGTCCCAGAGTTTTATGTTTTCATCAGTCTACTGAGAGAAAAACTAAAAACCCTACAAGTTTTTATCTTTATATAATCAAATTTATCCTGCCTGTGGCTGGCCGAGTAATAGGCCGCCCTTATTTGTGCGTCGGTAGCACAGTGGTTAGGACTCTCGCCGACCATGCACATGGTCCGGGGTTTCATCCCCTGCCGACGCACACCTGATATCTATGGTCGGTCTGTAAAATTTGGGCTACCGATATCATATGCTGAAAATTTCATACTTGTACCAAAAATACTGTGTGGTTTCAAGCTCTAATTAAAAAAATTTGTATTTCACTGCATGTCTGTCAAATTCCTGAATACTACTCAACTGAAATATAATTATAACTGTCCATTATGTTTAGTCGTAAGAAAAAGAAAAAAGGATTCTACAGTCCTCCCAAAATAATAATAATAATATTTAGCCTTTATTCTCTCCCAAAAATATCCAAACTCATTAATTAATTAATTAATTAATTTTTTCCTATTTATATTTCTATATTTTATTCAAATCTGAGATATCGATTTCTTCTTCTTCTTGTTCTCCTTGTCCTTCTCCTTCTTCTGCTCAAAAGGTTATTTCCATTGCCAAATAATAAATGAGAAAGGTATCACACAATTCCTCTGTGTCTGTTTCTCTCGCCTGTGATTTATTATGCGATTCTCCCTCCCTCGCTCTATGTATATGTATATTAACGCTTACAACATTACAGCCTAATGTAGCTGTTGTATTATGTGTTTGTTGCGAGTTTGTTAGCGGATGCAAGACTGTCGTTGACTGATTGACCAGAGAAAGAGAGAGATAGGATGGAGTATTATAGGGAGAAGAAATAAAACAAGGTATGGTAATAATAATAATAATAATATTAATATGATTAATTTTAAAAAATGCAGCTTTCATACTTCTCCTCTACCTAGGATGAATTTCCTGTCACGCCCACATTCTACTCACCAATCCACCCACTCATTCATTCACCTACAATTATGTGTGGGAGATTAGCCTTGCGTTTATCTACTGCTTTTAGTGGAGAAAAATAGCCCACAATACTAAACTCGGATACCTTATTATATGATTATTATTATTATTCAGTTTATAGGTTAAGCGCTGCTGAGTTAAAAGTGTCATTGTGTATCACTGTTGGCGGGAAAAGTGATTTCAAATCGCCTTTGTTTAAATTTCCCCACCTCTCTCTCTCTTTCCCACCCACCCACACACACACACACTCACAAATAGATATATATCCTATTGTTAATTTCATTTTTGTTTCCGTTGTTGTTCCGCTTTACTACATACAACTGACCTACATTTTAAAGGTTATATCACAGAAAAAGCTTTTCGATTGATTGATTGAGTTAATATATTCGTTTAAATAGTCTTTTTTTCCCCGTTTTAATGTTTTATTCTTATCAGTATTATTATTGCATTATTATTATTATTATTAAAATTAAATTTTTTTCATACCTTTCACTTAAAATTTATCTTATCCTCTTGTTTGCTGTGTTTTTGTTTATATTCTTGGGTTTTCAGTGTACTGATGAAAAAGATTTTTTAAAACTCCGTTTTAGTTCATAATATATGGACAGCGGCAGTCTGCTTGAAACCTAAAGAAGCTGTAAATTATAATTATCCCTAGTGGAGTTCTAACTTTTACTAGTGAACCCCATCTGATATCTAAACATGATTGTTGGGCTTGCATATCTCAATAGCATAACGAGCTACGCTAGTTGGAACAAATTTCTCTGAAGGTCCTAAAAAGTCGTTTGGATAACGATTAGACTAAAAGCAGTTGTCATTATAATTGTCAGTCGTTTACATTGTGTTGGGGAATCTGCGGATGAAGTCGTACTGCTTGCGAATACATATGTAACAACTGTCTTTCAACTTGGAGGAGTGGTGGGAAGTTAAGAAAGGTTAACCCTGAACTCTGTACAGCCCCTGATTTACCGTGAAGCTTTCCGTAACCAGTAGTAAGATATTATTACGGACACAACTTTAAAAACCATTTCAACGAGGCCCTGTGTGACCGGAGTCAAGCAATATTCTTTCTATTCCAGATATCTCTTGACCTAAAGGCGACATTTGATTCTGTCAACCGAGAGGTACTATGGCGATGCTTGGCTGCTAAGGGATTGCCGAGAAAATACATTGCACTGATCAAGGCACTCTAGTCGAACTCACGCAGCCAGGTGAGGGATTACGGTGAGTTGTCATCTGAAGTGGTGACAACTAGTGGTGTCCATCAGGGATGCCCACTATCCCCATTTCTATTCAATTCCATCACAGAAGTACTAATGGAATTAAGTCTAAGGGACTTCAGCGACTCAGGGATTGACTTGTTACCAGGGAATAATCTCGTTGACTTAGAATATGCAGATGATATAGTCCTTCTAGGTGAAGACGCTGACAAAATGCAGAGTCTTCTAAACACCTTGAGCTGCAATCTGCGAATGTTTGGCATGCAATTCGCTCCAGCCAAATGTAAGATGATGTTACAGGACTGGACTACACTGACTCCTAGCTTAGAAATAGGGAGAGAAGTGGCAGAGCACGTTGACCACTTCACTTATTTGGGAAGTTATATCAGCCCCAATGGCTAGCGCAGATGCATCCACTCCTTGAAACTATATTGTTCTTCGTTATTACTATTCCTTTTGTCTCATATCTCTGTCTACTGTTTCTATTTTGCATTTCTTCTACTTTCTTCTCTTGCTTTGTGTGTTACATGGAGGGAGTGTGTCGACTTGAACTGCTGCAGATCGGTGCAAAGTTCTATGTTGAAAACAGACAGACAGAATTGGCCTTTTATTTTACACATAAATTGATTTGACAAGTGTAATCAAATTGCTATTTGAAATGTATTGCGCGAATACATCACCACCTATTTTTTTTTCCTTTTTTCTAAATTTTATGTAGGTGTTACTCTTCACATTCCGGATACTATCATGGGATTAACATTTATTGCCGCTGGATCCAGTGTCCCAGATGCTATTGCTTCAGTGCTTGTTGTTCGTGAAGGTAGGCTTTTATTGATGAATACACAAATTCTTTTATTTTTCATTTTGTGCGAAACTTGTGAGTCCTGGTGGGGCCGGGGGGGGGGGGTTAGAAATATGGATTAATGGTAACATTATTCTCAATAGAAGACACCCGACAGTTGAGAGCTTAATCGTATATATATACACGTTCACGCCTCTGCACTGCTTAGGTTCCTGGTTATAGAACTCTCAACACTCGTCCAAAACATCATGGTCTTGAATAGCTAACTATTACAATTTATTATTCTCTCTTTGTGTGAACAGTAGAACGTAGGGTTTCAAACTTTGAGTTTTTGAAGTTTCGCTAGTAGGGGTGTTATATTTTGTGGGGTGGGTGAGTTGCTGGCTTCATGCCGAACTATCCTCCTTTCTCAGTCTTACTATCTGTCCAAGCGAGGTTTAGGAGTGCATCGGTGGCCTGGATTCGAACTCCAGACCACTTGAGGTGTGGTTGGTGGGTACTCTACTGTTGAACCTCAGACTCACAAACACAATCAGGGTGAGGAGGATTGTATAAAGCATAAAGCCTTCTTCAAACCTTGTACACAACCAATAGGTCGCACACGATCCGGTCGCTCTTGCAGGATCTAGCAACAAAATTCACGAGGACACCATCAGAGCAAATAACAGGCTAGGTACTCCAGCTAACGATATGTATGTATAATAATGCTAATTTATGCCTTTACCACAGTATTGATTTTTATTTTACGATTTGCCAAATATGATGATATAATTTGAACCTGCTTAATCTTGATGTAACATTTATCAGAATAAACAAATGAAACATGAACTTAAAATTTTATATCGTTATTAAATGTTACAATCAAGCGGCAACAATTATTGTTAGCATTATGAACGTGGTGCTTGACGAGAGAGTTGCTAGATGTTTTGAGGTAATCGTTAGGGTGCCTGCTGGTATTTGTCAGAAAGGACGTATCCTGCACCCCTGAAGAAACTCAAGTGCCCTCGTGTACCCGCATCACCCACTGCCACATTCAGAGATGCTACCACTGAGCTATTTGGGCTGGTGACAGATCTCCTGTAGAACCATAATGGATGTATCCTTTAGTTAATGTTAATGTATTCAGATTATGTGCGGAAATAAATTTTATTTTTCCAACCACCCATTCCATTTTTCCCGAACCATTGGATCGTGACTCTGTGGTTGTGTGTTACCGTGCTGCTGACCTTTAGTTCGATCCTCAAGTGGAGGACCATGAATAAGTACTGTGGAAGAATTCCAAACTAGGAAGAAACTGGAAAGCTGCCAATTGTCCCACTTGTGACAAACGTTAAACATGTGATCGACCCATCCTGATTGTTACTAATCAATATCTCACGTATTTTATTCCATCTTCGGTTGACCACACACAAACCAGTATACTAGATGCAAATGATAACAGACTAATACCCGAATAATAGTTGAATGCGTTACTCTCAATAGGCAGGCGCTGTTTTGCATGACTTCCTAATACTTTACTAAAGTCAAGTATAGAATTTCATGGACCACTTCTGTTGTCGATATCATGGTCAAATGGTGTAGTGATTTATCTTGATTACCTACATAAAAATAACAGAATTGGCCAATAATAACATTCCCCCCCCCCATCATGTATTGTGACGACACTGAAATGAATAACCACCCCGTTGACAGTTAGTTTGTTTGATGTATGTCGCCAGTTGAAATGAACACGTCGCCAATTTGTTATTGACCTGTCGTCAATTGATATAATCGCGTTGACAGCTAATATACGACCGAGTGGACTTATGTGTAGGTGTCATAATACTGACGCAATGAACAACTCAACTGATATGCTAAGGGGATGTCTATTTGTCCGTGGTGCCTTTCGCTCGTCTGAGCCACGTAGGTATCAGAAGACAAAGACTGGTCTGTGACTGTTAGGATACAATTTTATTAGGAAAAACACGTCTCATTAAAATCGGCCCAGGGCACTGAAAATACATTGTTCTGATTGGTAGATGATTCGGTCAGGTTGGTGAAAAATAAATATTCTGATTGGTTGACAATTTGACCAAGATCAAGGTAAGAAAAAGATGCAGAAATTTTACAGTCATCCAATCAAACGATGGATCATACGATGACTATTTCTGTTTTAAGCTGATTCCTATCAAATGTTAACGACAAAAGTGGAATTTAGGACAATCCTAGAGTTACCGTTGAATACCTAATTTCCATCATATCAAGTTTGTTTTTGAAATAAGTATTTTTTAAAAATTTCTTTGCTTTACATTCCGAGAGGAATACAGGGCTTCAAGTTCTAAGCCTTGGAGTTTCAGTAGCGTTTGTGTTGTTTTTTCTCCACAGGGAGGGGGGGGATTACTAGCCTCATATCCAACCTTTTCTTCCGTATCAGAATTACTACTCCGTAAGCGACGTTTAGGTGTTTGTCGACAGGTAATCGAACCCGGATGACGTGCATGGTAGGTGAGCATTATGCCATTGAGCCACTGACGCGAAATAAGTGATAAAGCTGTACAAATTTTATGACAAAGAAAGCTCAATAATATTAATAATAATAAAATAATGTGAGTTATCATTTCATACATCTAAGCAAGGGTTAGTTTACAGGGATTTGATTGGTCACATCACTTGGAAAACTATTGGGAAACCAGAGAGTACTTCTTGGGAGAATCCCAAACCAGTGCCAAAAACAGCTGTCTAGTATGCTTCCTGGTTTTCCAATAGTTCTCTAACCTAATTTCAACTCGTTCTCAAACCTGTAACATTGTAACAACTAAAAGTTCAGATTCTTGCTTTGATATCCTCGTCAGTTGCGTGCGCCTGTAGCTGAAACGATTCTTCCCAGGTAGGTAGGTGAAGGAGGTTGTTTCTTTCAGGTTCCTCCCATTTATGCTGATCGTTGTCTGTTGTTGTTGTTCTTGTCCATGAATCTTCATCACCTCTGTTTTCTCTATGTTGACTTGGAGTTCTATCTTTGATGCTTCTTCTGCCAACTTGTTGCTTTTCACTTGCATATCTCCCAGTTTGTGGGAAATCAGACATATATCATTGGAGAAATCCAGATCCTCCAACTTTTATGTGTGAGTCCATTTTATGCCTGTTTCCTCGTTGCCCGGCCCGCTGTTTGTCGCATTATCCAGTCTACTGCAATCAGGAAAATTATTGGCGATAGTAGGCAGCCAGCTTGTCTTACTCCTGTCCTAACTTCGAAGGATTCCGTAAGTTTCCCGTTGTGGATTACTTGGCACACAGCATTGTCATGCAACTGTTGGATGAGATGTATAATTGTCGGTGGCACACCTTAGTAGCGAAGGAGTTGCCAAATCACCTCTCGATCGACGCTGTCGAAGACCTCTTCGAAGTGGATGAAGTTGAGATAGAGAGGTGGCTGCCATTCCAAGCTTTGTTCAATGATGATCCGTAATGTGGTGATCTGATCAATGCATGACTTTTTTCTCCTGAATACAGCCTGTTCTGGTCGAAGTTTCTCATCCAGAGCTTGCTTGATCCTTTCCAGGATGATGCGGCTTAGTATTTTGCTTGGGATGGACAGGAGCATAATTCTGCGTCAGTTCTTGCACTGACTTAAGTCGCCTTTTTTTGGTAGTTTGAATAAGTATCCTTTCTTCCAATCCTCGGGTACTTTGTCTTCTTTACACACCTTCTCCAGTAGTGGCGTCATCAAGTCCGCTGTTGTCTCTGGGTCCATTTTCAATGCTTCTGCTGGGATTCCATCTGGTCCTGCTGCTTTTCCAGCTTTTAGCATCTTAATTGCCTTCAGGACTTCTGATTTCGTCGGGGGGGTTGGTGTTCACTGGTAGGTCTGTCGCCTTCGTTGGTATTGTTGGGCGCTTTGTGGGTGGTGGTCGATTTAGGAGTCTTTTGAAGTATTCAACCCAGTGTTTTCTTTGCTCCACTTCTTTGGTGAGTGACTTTCATTGTCATCTTTCACCGGCTTAATTTGTGTCAAACTTTTGCCCGACAGGTGCCTAGTTGTTTGGTAGAGTGTTGCGAGATCTCCTTTGCCTGCAGCTTGTTCTGCTTCACTTGCCATGGCTTCATAATATTTTCTTTTGTCTTTTCTGGCACTCTTCTTTACTCTTTTGTTTAGTGTCTTGGAGCTTACATTCAAATCCTGTTTTTGTTGCTCGTCGGTGCACTGGAGAATATATATATATATATATCCTACTCATGTTCTGTCTAGCTTTCAGTTGTAAATCGAATAGTTTTCAGTTCATATGAGACTTAAATAATGATGTTTAGAAAGCCATTGAAAGGTTTGCTCTAAAAAAATTTCTGCTATCTAGCTATAGAAGGCACTCCAAGAATTACAAACTTTTGATATTATTTCATGTATTTATTTATTTATTGCATGATATGTTAACCCTTATTTTCTATTTACTATTTTTTTTGTAGGTGAAGGTGACATGGCAGTCTCCAACGCTGTAGGAAGCAATGTGTTTGATATATTAATCTGTATGGGATTACCATGGTTAATGAAATCAATTATTTCTCAAGCGCCAGTTATTATTTACTCTAGAGGTAAAGTGTTCTTCATGTTCAGTGATGTTGTTTCATTATTCTTTATAATTTTGAAAGAAAAAAAAACTATCCACAGATGTTCAGTGGTAGGTGGCTCCTAGATCCATTCACTGTGTTGTACATGTTAAATGGGGGGGGGTGGACCACTACCTAGTTGACTAACAACGATATTGATTGCACAAGTTTAGTAGACCTAGCAGGCACTTACTGGTCAGTATGAGTGGTGTTCAACTACTCACGTCGATCAATCAGTAGTATGTTAGACTTTCAAGGGTGATTCTGTTAGGTTTCATACTTATCAATAAGGTATGTTTGCAACCTTTAGAGAAGCTATAAGATTTTGAATATCTGGGTTCACGAACTTTCTGAACGACTAGTGCACTTCTGTGCACCAGTTCAAATCGCCACACTCCATGTAGCATACAAAGATGAAAGAAAGACAGAAAAAAGCGATTCAAAACATCCATAATGAGCAGAAGTGTACTGGAGGAGAATAGTATGATATAACATACGAATTTTATGGATCTTCGAAATTTTAAGCCATATCATCAATAATCTCTCCAGCCATCGGTTCTTAGTGTCTCAAGCGCCCCAACTAGTCAGTCTACACCTCCTTGCATATCTTCAACCAACAGTGAAAGACTTCATTTATCACTGTTGAGGACCTTTTTTCCATGATCTATAGATATCTCCCTGGACTTACAGGTGAAGCTGTTTTCCTCTTAGGAAGGTCAAGGTTGAAAATGCTGTTTCACAAGTGAACTATATATTCACACTTTCGACTGAATTTATATTGATAACATTATTTAAAGTTGTAATAGGAAGTATCTTATCTAACACAAATTAAATGACATTTGTTCTGTATGTTGTTACACGTGATGGTGATGAATACCCCTGATTCTCAATACTACCTCTAACATGTGTCGATCTTGATTAGATTTTTCAATTTCCCTTGGTAAGTAGTCATTTTTGTAATCTCTGCTTTGATGATATTAGATGGTTGGAGGCAATCGGCCTCAGGAAGCCTTGTCTGACCTAGGTTTCGTGCTAGTTGGCACTCACCTGTCAGTAAGGCGTATCTGCAACCTTGAAGGAACTCATGTCCCTTCTGAAATTTGAACCTGCATCACCCACTGCCACCTGCAGTCAGAGACGTTACCACTGACCTATTCGGTCCAAGACTTCCTGCCGATTGCCTCCAACCATCTAATATCATCAAATCAATGTGCACCGTGATGGTGAGCTACCTAGTGGCGTGGTGGTGACATTACAAACCTGACTGATAGAATTCAGTCTGCACCGAAGAAAGGACTAGACACATCACACTAGTTACTAGTGTCCAATCAAAATAATCTCTGCTTGTTTGTTATGCTCAGTCCCCATTCTTATCCTGTTACTAATACACTATTGTATTCAAAAAATCGCGTGTTTGACCGTTTAGAATGTTTAGTAATAATGGCTTTATTCCAACCAGTATTTTTGAGCACAAATATGGAATTCTCAGCATGTACTTACGAGTACTGCATCTCATATATTCTCATTACAGTGATCAATAATTAGAACAGGTCATTTATACTGATAATATTGTTCTACATTAATATGAATATAAAATTAAGTTTTTACGAGTTGTTCACGGATTGATATCAGTTAGAGAACCATTGAAAACCAGGCCCATTGAATCGGGTCCCAATGGCTGAATGGTATACGAGTTAGCTTGCCTTGTAACCAGAAGGTCCTGGTTTCAACCCCTGGCAGTGGGTGCGTACTGCTGATGATTCCCCAGAAAATTAGGATGAAATAGCTGTCCAGGACTCCCTGGCGGTTTTCAATGGTTCTCTAACTGACATCAATCCGTGATCAACTCGTAAAAAAAAAAACTAATCCTTGCTAACCAACTATAGAGAATTAGATTAAGTGAAAATATTTTACAACAATATAATAAGGAAAGAATGTGGAGCCGTTTACTTATCATTTCGCAGTAAATTGGTTGGTAATTTCCTGTCTTACACACCTTTCTCATCACATAAAATGTGTGCCTGCAAAATAAGGTATTGTAGAGTTTTGGTACTTGGTCATCCGAGTTGCTTCTAGTTCTACTCACCTGATGAGATGTAAGGAGAGAGTTGTGTATAGAAGAGGATGCTGTCAGAGTATGACAGGATAATATTTGCTAATTTCTTCTAGGAGCCCATGTGTTTATCTACAACAGTATTAACGAGTTGGTTTAACGACACCTCACTCGCCCTTCTGACGGCCGTTTTTTGGTGCCCTTTGCAGTGTAACAAAGTCTTTTTTAAGTAGCCCAGGAAAGATTAAGCTGTGGGGAACAATAGAGAAGGATAGGTAGAATGCAAGAGCTAGCAAACTTAGGAAGTAGAGACCGAGTTAGTCATATCAGATTGTCTTAACTTCCTTACGTAATACGTTAAATGAAATATCTTGGGAAAGAAGACCAAGAAAGATTAGAGGAAGTACACAGGTCTAAGGTATTTAACATTCGATTTAGTTTCAACTTCTGTGCCATCTATGACAGTGGAGCCGTACGAACTAACCAGTTCATGTAAGTCTCGCTTGTGTCTGAGTGTGACATTAACAAGCTGACATTTGGAAGGCTTTATTTGAAGACCACTCGTAATATAGCGTTACCGTCTCCAGTAGTGCCTTTAATGAGCATCTATTTCACCTTGGTATGGTGATGGAACTCAAACCTCTACCTAAACTTCATCGACTTCAAAAAGGCCTTCGACAGACAGTGTTGACGGAGAAGTAATTTGGAAACTACTTCAACACTACGGCGTGCAGTGCCCAAGTCTTTATCAACCTCATTCAACAGCTGGCTATATGACAATGCCACGTATCAGGTGATCCACAACGGAAAACTCAGCGAGGCGTTCGAAGTGCATACAGGAGTAAGACAAGGCTGCCTATTATCACCGATGATATTCTTAATTGTGGTGGACTGGATTATGCGTCAGACTGTGGGGAGCGAGGAGACAGGAGTAAGCTGGACCACCAATGAGAAAACTCTAGAAGACCTGGATCCCACTCGTGGATGATACTGTCTATCGAAACTTACAGGCGGAACCAACAAATTGGCTGAAGATGCAGCTAAGACAGGACTCCAGGTGAACATAGAGAAGATGGAGGTGATGAAGATAACCAGCAAACAGCACAACAACAGCACAAACACCAAAGGGTAAAATTGATTACTGAATCTTGTTCATCGAGTCTACACCCAACGTGAATAGGAATGACTCATCATTCATACCGGAAATATGGAAAATACTACTACCAATCAAGTCAAGTGATGAAAAATAATGGATTATAAAAAGAATTGTGTAGTACTTGATATGATTTGAGCAGTAATAAATTGTGCTCAAGTGGTCATCAGTAAATATTACTGTATAACACTGTAAGACTTTATCAAAATAAATTTTGCCCGTAATAGAATTATACTCTACCACAGTGCACAAGTTCTATTCTTATAGCAACTCAATAGGTGGTTATATTTCCTAAAATTGAAAAATTGCTCAGTGAGCTGAAATCACTATATGTGATAATCATGTAATTAAAATTAGTTAGTTATCAAGGAGTGAGTGAGAGATTGACTACACTCTCTTTTTCTGTACGCATAAGTTTGTTGAAACGCTTGATTGCATGCTTCAGCGAATCATAGTAAATTTCCTGTCCTTGTATGTTTAATATTTTGAAGGATTTAGAATTTCAACGAAATGACCTATACACAAGGTGTCTGGTAATACGCTTTGTGAATATCTATCGCTTTCAGGCATAAGTTCTTGGGATATCTCTGAATACATCATAAATTATTAAATTAATCCCAGTGTGTTTAAGAAAAAATCAAAACAAGATCTGTTTTCTGAACGTTTCGCTGTGTAAGCTGCTTCTTCAGCAGCAATTTTCGATTTTATTAATCATCAAAATAGTTAGTCAAAAATTATTTTTATATCAATAGAAGTCAGTTCATTTGAAGGCACTCGTCGATAGACATTTGTACCAATAGAAATATGTAAGCAGTCATCACATATATTTGTAATGACTAATGTCAAATTTTCAAGTATTGGTTTTGTAGGAATTTTTTGTTTGATTGGATGATGAAATCCTCCGTCTAATGTCAAATTGTCATTGTGCATATTTGTCTGCATGACTGTGTGTGTGAGTGTATTTTATTTGTCATATGGGAAAAACGTCAATTTTACATGTGATAAACGTTTTTTTAAAGGTCATGGAGGTTTTTTGTTGGTTTTTCATCTGTCTTGCTTCATTAGAGTTTGCCATATAGGCAGGTAATAAGTCTATCCGTTCTTTCCTACTTATTGCATTCGATATGATTAAAATGTGCAATGCTTCAAAGGTCAACCTTTCTTTATATGATGACTGCTTACATATTTCTATTGGTACAAATGTCTATCGACAGGTGAACTTCAAATGAACTGACTTCAATTTATATTAAAAAAATTTTTTGATTATATATTTTGATGATAAATAAAATCCGAATAATTCTGCTGAAGAAGCTGTGGCATTACACAGCGAAACATTCAGAAAACAAATCTTGTTTTGATTTTTTCTTAAACACGCTGAGATTAATTTAAATAATTTATAATGAATCACTCTGACTCGGCGCTCAAATTATTCCAAGAAGTTTGTAACATCAACAACAAAATTCGAATTTTCAATACAAACGTCAAGTCAGTCAGTTCTTCTATACGGATCAGAAACTTGGCGGGTCACAAAGAATATTTCCAACAGCCTGTTGCAGACCTTTATCAACAACTGTCTTCGCTCTATACTGAAGATCAGATGGCCGGAAAGAATCACGAACAAGAAACTATGGGAACAAACAAAACAAGAACCAATCGCCCAACAAATATGCAGGAGAAAGTGGAGATGGATTGGACACTCGCTGAGGAGGCCGCTGGGTGACATCGCGCGTCAGGCCAATGCTCGAGTGGAACCCGAAAGGGAAGCGGCGAGTGGGACGTCGAAGGGTGACATGGAGGAGATCGTGTGAAGAGGAGTTGAAACAGTATGGACTAACATGGATTCAGGTGAAAAGTACAGCAGAAGACAGAAGCAAGTGGAGACGTGCAGTTGAAGCCCTATGTTCCTGTCTGTCTGGATTCAACATAGAACTTGTCACCGAAGTGCAGCAGTTCGAGTTGCCACGTTCCAAATAGCACACAAAGGTAGACAAGAAAATGAGTGAAGAGAATCAATAGAGTTTTGACAAGTATAAGAGTGAAACAGAATGAGTAATGGTAGAAAGGAATATGAAAGATTACAGAGACTGAATACATCTGCGCCATTGACAACGATTTTGAGCCATGTCACCTATTGTCTCCAGCCATTGATTCTTAGAGTCCCGAGGGCTCCAACCCGGAAGTCTGCATCTCCCTACCTGACTCAGTTTAACTGTCAGGGATTTCATGGATTGATGAGGCCATGTTTTTGTTTGGCCACCACTTACTCTTTTCCAACCTGCACCTATATCAGCTAGTAATGCCCATCGGAGGAGGCGATGGTTAGGCATGCGCAGCACGTGACCTAGCCATCTCAATCTATGTAACTTTATAGCCTCTTCGATTGATTTTCCCTCTTTGCCCAACACTCTACGCCTAACGTCAACATTACTTACCTTATTATACCACCTAACGTGAGAAAGAGATCGTAGACATCTATGATCAAAAGCAGTCAACCTTTTCATGTCTTCAACTCGTATTGGCCATGTTTCAGAGCCATAGAGAAGGACGGAGCGAACTGCTGAGCAGTACACACGTCCCTTGGTTGATAGCCGGATGTCACGCCTATGCCAGAGATGGTGTAAGTTAGCGAAAGCAGCTCCCTATGTTCCACTAGGAACCCAAGGGAACAATAAAACGTACCAACATCAGTCAGTTAGAGAGAGATCTCTGGAACAAGGAACAGTAGTGGGTATTTTTTTGTCCTTACCAATCACATTTCAAGCAGAATTTATTACTCATAATCAATAATAATCTATGACTAGAAAATTATTTTTACTTGTTGCGTTAATTATCCTTTTCGTTTTTGTTTCATTTCCCTCCCTATATATTAATTAGGTTTGCTTTATTCCACGCTGACATTATTTACCACAGTTATTTACTTATTAGTAGCAACACATATCAATCGTTGGCGATTAACTAAACCCTATGGATATGCTTTATTACTTGGTTATGTAATTGTTCTCATCTTCTGTAGTCTGTATGAGCTAAACTACTTTGGGACTGTTCATTTACCTGCATGTCCATTAATTGAATGATATGATAACTCTCTGTTTTTTGATCATCTTATTGAAGGAGGAAGATTAATGCTCTCATCAATAACTTTTAAGACAAACAAAAATTTTTCCTTCTCCACTGCCTCCTCGTCGACATTACATCAAATAACATGTGTTCTTATTATCTCCTGTAAGCAGTGGGAGGTAGGAAGCCTCACACCCAACCAGTTCTCTTTTACCTTTTTTCTGCTTCCTCTTCTTCTCCTCGGTTTTTCCTCTGAAGAAAAAACAACCTTACTTGCCTACAGCATTCATCTTTTTTTTTCTTTTGTAAACATTAAAAAAATCAAATAAATTACACAGATTTTAATTGATTATTTAACTGTGAAAGATTTTGGCTCATTTGTTTTTTTTTTCAGTCTCGAGTATATATTTATATCTATACATATATATATTTTACCCTCCTGTCTGCTACAACAATATGTCATTATGGTGTAATCTGAGAAACTTATATATTGTTATGATATTCTTTGACAAAACATATACTCCCCCCTGTACTTACTTACAACTTGTTTTAGGTCATTTATTATTCTGTGCATTTCATTGGTATATTATTATTGAGTATATATATATGATCATTTTCAGCAATCTGTGCTACATTCTTCCCTATATCTATTTATTTATTTATATATTACCAAATATACTACTTATTATCACATTCATTAAGTCACATTATTTCTGTTATTTTTTTAAAAATTCTTTGCGTTCCCAGTGAAATCTAAGGCTTCAGAAGCTTGAGGTTTGAAGTTTCACAGTAGTAGGGGTTTGTTTATTGTCTTACAGGATGAAGTAGTTAGCTTCGCCAACCGGACTTCCCTGTTTACTGCGCTTATTGTCAAGAATCGAGCCCCAGACTAATAAAATACATATTTTTCCTACCTGTGTAGGACACACCAATTGTACAGGCATGGATAAGTATTATTTAAATTACATAAATTTGGTTTATGGTGAAATTACTTGGTTGCTGTCGTTTTTGTCTTTGGTTTGTGGGAACAGTGTGGTAACTAGTCATTCAATGGAGCACATCAAGAAACATAGAAATATTGTCTTCGCATTAACAAAAACACCCAAATATGTTTTGGATAGATTACAAATACTTGGGAAATAAATAAAGCTTGAAGTCAATTCCCTCATATAACTTTGGTGTGTACGGCATCGAGTCTTATTCTTGATTTATATCCACATTTGGTAATAATTTAAAATAAATGATACACTTGTATAGTTTTGTCAGCATTTTCATAGTAACATCACAAGTGAATTGTACTCAATGTAGACTATAATAATAATGATAGTTTATATTTTCTTATAAACGGGTGTTTACAAGAAATGCAAGCTATTTTTACAGGCAAGATCAGTTATGTTATAAATTACAATCGTGAAGTATTATAAATTAATACTTTTTCATTGGTATAAAGGTATATTCCACAACTGTAATCCAAGTTGAGTCGTAGGGGAAGGTAATGCGTAATTCACGAGGCAACTGAAAGATATGGGACCAATAATGTTTGCAGATCATTTGTCATTGTGAGTGGTCAAATATCTACATTCTTTATTCTCATTCAAAAAGTCATATAGAAGCTAAAATGGTGAGAGAGTGTGGTGACCTACACACATTATTAGATATAAAGTGTGTGTGCAGCAAAAGAAATGGGATATAAAGATCGATATTGGGTATTATGCTCAATACAGCAACTCTGAATACGAGCATCGTACGAAATCCTATAGTGAGTGAGAAGACGACTTATGAGGAAGACGCGGTCGAAATCTTCTGTGGTTTAAGGACCATCCAACCGGATGGTGGTTGAAGGCAATCGGCAGGAAGCCCTGGACCGAGGTTTCGTGCTTGTTTGCACTCACCACCAGTCAGCAGGATGTATCTGCAACCGTGAAACAACTCATGTCTCCTATGAGACTCGAACCCGTGTCATCTAGTGTTGAAGTCAGAGATGTCACCATTGAGCTATTTGATCTGGCTACTGACCTCCTATCAGACTTTATTGGATAATTTGATTGGAATACTAGGTAGTGAGTAAATAGTGTCATGCATACGTCCTAGTCCTTTGCTTGATGCAGACTGAATTCCATCGGTCAAGTTTTTGTCATTATTACTCGAAATCTGACCTGATTTGGTGAATAAGGTTTAGCATAGGCTTAAAAAACACACTCAGTATTCACCGATTTCGGCTGCAGTTCAATATCCTACAAAGTATTCCCAATTCACGGTTGTGACGTCGTAATTTGGTCATTGAAAGGCTGACTTAATAGAATTTCCAAGACTCCGTTAAGATCATTTCTAAGGACTCATTGTCCCCATTGAAATATTCTCTTTCCTAATTATGTATATCTGCCGTAGTAATAGTTACATTAATGTCCCTTGAAGATGACAACATCTGAATTGATGCGTGTCTATCCAGTTTTGTTTCTTTGTCTCACCTGGGTAAAAATTACTGGACGAGTCAGGAAAAAGGATCATCATCAAGTGAGTTGGCCAGAATACACTGAATGGGTTACGTCTCATGTTTCCGGAAGGTAAAAACGCAAACACTATTCAGAAACAAAGATTGACGGCTGCTAACCACTACGAGTGTGAATCTCATGAGTTACTACTAGTTATAGAAGATTCGAACAAAGCAACTTCTAAACCTGAATATGGCAATAAAGTTGGATTCGAAAGCTCATAAAGAGATGATACGCGTCTACACCATGTCACCAACAATCTCTAGCTATTGTTTCTGAAGGAACCCCACCAGCCAGTCTAAACATCCTCAAGTGGTTGACTCAAACCAACCGTCCAAAAGTTCATGGATTGCTGCAACAATATGATTTGGCCACCGCTTACTTCTTTCCAACCTAATCTTGTTTCAGTCAGCAATGTTCGACGAGGACAGCGGCGGCGTGTGTAACATATAGATAACACCTGATATAACTACAGAATTCCTATTGGTACGTAATATATAAGATCAATTACCCGAGGAAAATCAAGTTGTAATTGACCACCTTCATTCTACCTATACAAGTTTACTGCGTTGGAATCGCGGAAAGTTTGATTTGCACTAACTTTTATATCCTTGGAAAGGCAAGATACGCCTTCAGCAACCTGAAACCAGTTTGGAAATCTTCCGCACTCAGCACATAAGGAACAAGATTCGCATTTTCAACACAAACGTGAAGTCAGTCAGTCCTTCTATACGGGTCAGAAACTTGCACTGCGTGTCACGAAAAGGATTTCCAACAGCTTGTTGCAGACTTTTATCAACATCTGCCCGCTTCGCTGGCTAGCTCCATATTGAAGATCAAATGGGCAGCCGACCAGAAAGAATCAGCAACAAGAAACTATGGGAACAAACCAACAGGCGAGAACCAATCGCTCAACAAATATGTAGGAGAAAGTGGATATAGATCGGGCATACACTGGGGAGGCCGCCGAACGACATCGCACGTCAGGCCATTGCTCGAGTGGAATCCAAATGGGAAGCAACGAGTGGGTCGTCAATGTGAGGGTGACATGGAGGAGATCGTGTGAGGAAGAGATGAGAGATTACGGTGAATCGTGGACCCAGCTGAAGAGGACGGCAGGAAACAGAACAAAGTAGAGATGTGTTGTTGACGCCCTATGTTCCACTCGGAACGCAAGGGAATAATAATTGCCCCTGCCTTAACCATCTTCATCGATGCAGTTCCACAACCTCATCGTTCCTGCCTAACTTCAGTATTACTCTGGATGATTGGAACATGCAAACATGATCGAACTAATATAACCTGCTACAACTCAATAGGATGCTTACGCGTAGCATTATTATCAATTACACCTAAAAATGTTCAAAACGTGTGATGACAAAGATAAAATATTTGCCGAAGAAATGCTTTACTATCAAAACTTAAAACAGTTAGACAAATTCGCATCATTTCTTACAAACATACAATGGTTGCCCATTATAGTGGAAAATTCCCGTTAAGGAACGAAAAATGCGCTACTCCTCAGAGGATGCCTGGACGTTATATATCGTCAAAAAGCGTAACCACTTTTATTACAGCAAATTTTTATTAGTTTATATCAGTTACAGTAAAAACAACAACCGGAAAATGTAATAATAACAATAATAATAATCTTAATTTATAAAAACACAATTAGAAAATGTAATCGCACACACATACACACACAGATGTACAGTTTTATATACAAATACAATACAACAAATCAAGACTTTGAAAATATCCAGGCAACATTTAAGCCAGACGGACCTAATGCAACCGACCTAAAAAGAAAAGAACAAACAGTGATATTAGCACTCTTACAGTTACTTGTACAAAAATAAACTCCTCTTATAACATAATACTGTCTAGTTAGATTAGACAGACTGTTGAGAATTAGGACTTCAAGGTTGAGCTTAGAAGTTTCATTCGTGATGGTGTTGTTGTTGGTCTTATGTGGTTGGGTTGCTGCTATCCCCGCGCAGAACCTTCATTTCTTTACTAAACGTATCATCGACCGAGCATGGAGAGACTAAGGAATGCGTCGGCTGGGAATCGAAACCCGAGGATGTACTTGGTTGAAAAACATAGTTGACCATAGTCTGAACTATTCGTATGGAGACTAGTTAAGAAGCTATGGTGAAAGATAAAAACCTGCACTGACTGATGCTATAAAGGCTGAGATTTTATTATTATTATTATTAATGTTTCATTTAGTTCCTAGAGGAACATGGGGCTTCAGCCGCACGCCTCCATTGCGTTCGCTTCTCCAACAATGTTTTCCACGTCTGCCCACATGCTTTCATCTCCTCTTCACATGACCTCCTTCATGTCACCCTCGCACTGACGACCAACTCCCCACTTCCCAATCGGGTTCCACTCAAGCAATGGCCTGTCGTGTGATGTCACTCACTTGATGGTGGTTGTTTTCTCAGAGTATGGCCTCCAATCCACCTGCCCATTTCTTCCTGCATATTTGTTGCACAATCGGTTCCTGGTTGGTTCGCTCCCAGAGATCCTTGTTGCTGATCTTTTCTAGCCGGCATCTGTTCTTGAGTAGTATTGAGCGAAGACAGCTGTTGATGGTGTGTAGTTTGTTCGAGGTGTTCTTCATGATGCGCTCCAAGTCTCTGATCCATATAGGTAAGTAGCACTAACTTCACATTGGAGTTGAAAATCCGGATCTTATTTTTCATACTGAGTAGTGCTGTTGATCTCCACACAGACTTGAGCGCTGCTTTCCCGATCCTCGCTTTGATATCCTCATCAGTTCCGTCCTCCTGTAGTTGAAACGATGCTTCCCAGGTCTGTAGGTAAAGGAGGTTGCTTCTTTCAGATTTCTCCCATTTATGCTGATTGTTGTCTGTTGTTGTTGCTGTTTCTGTTGGCCAGGAGTCTTCATCATCACCTCTGTTTTCTCTATGTTCACCTGAAGGCCCATCTTCTCTGGATGCTTCTTCTGCCAACTTGTTGCTTTTCACTTGCATATCTTCCAGTTTGTGGGAAATCAGACAAATATCATCGGCGAAGTCCAGATCCTCCGAGTTTTTTGTGTGGGTCCATTTTATGCCAGTCTCCTCGTTGCCCGGCCTACTGTCTGTCGCATTATCCAGTCTACCGCAATCAGGAAAATCATTGGAGATAGTAGGCAGACAGCCAGCCTTGTCTTACTCCCGTCTTCACTTCTAAGGATTCCGTGAGTTTCCCGTTGTGGATTACTTGGCACACAGCATTGTCGTACAACTGTTGGATGAGATGTATAATTGTTGGCGGCACCCCGTAGTAGCGAAGTAGTTGCCAAATCATCTCTCGATAGACGCTGTCTGCTGAAGGCCTTTTCAAAGTCAATGAAGTTGAGATAGAGAGCTGACAGACAGCCATTCCAAGCTCTGTTCAATGATGATCCGTAATGTTGCGATTTGA